ATGAGAAGCGCCAAATATTGTGACGCAAAAACTATGACAAACTCACGTGTGATTCACSCACTCTCCCATCAACTCAAGGTCACCTTGCCGTGGACACTTGCCAGTTAAGTAGTCAAACGTACTCGGACACGGCCAAGCCCAGAATCCCGTTTTCGATCTGATGCTCTCGGCGAAGTATGTCGGAGCTATATGATGATCACAACTGAACTGACCTAATGAAATATACATGTGCAGTCAAAAATAATAAATAAATATTTACTGCATTATTTTTAGAAACATCTGATGTTTAGAGGCTTAACTTACTGTTGTACGATCTGATGTTTATTCATTAATTGCAATACACTTTTCTCGTCATTCAGTTTTGAAAGTAAATTCAATTTGATTTTTAACAGTTTGTCGAAGTCATTTGTCTAGTATCTACGTATTTCGACTTCTAACAGCGTTTAAAATAATACATATTTATGGTAGAATATGTTCATATTTAATACTAATATACAGTGTATGTGTTGTACTTAAATTAATAAAGGGAAACCAAATAATATACTATATTATGATGTCTCTAAAAAAAAAAACGTTCTTTGCTAAATATATGGAAAATAGTGATTWTTTTTTTTACTGTAACAGTGGTTTTGGAGGGAAAATATTACCTATATCCTACCCATGTCACCTATACCCTACACCAGCGTTTCCCAACCTTTTTGCAATGACGACCCATACATTTAATCTTTATTAGGTACGCGACCCCACCCCCTTAAAAAAAAAGTATGTCTTAAATAAATAAGATTTTTACTATAATCCATTTTATCAACAATATACTGAATAATAATAACTTAATTAATAAATAAATAAAAAAAAATTATAAAAAAATACAAAAAATTAGTATAATAGAAAATTTAGTGTGAATATCGACTAGTCAATAGTCATTAGCACATTTAACGATAAGATAAAAAAAATTCCATAATCATAATAACTTTACATCATTTATTCTACAATACTAGTTATTTATACTATCTATCAATTTACGATTAAAATAACTGTAATCGTAACCGAGAGTCGGGACGCATCAAAAAAATTTCCCGACCCATGGTTTGGGAAACGCTGCMMTACACCAATGGTCTCGACGGGTGGCTCAGAATAAACATTTATTACTTTAATATTTTACTTAATTAATTTAGTATTAATATGAGTAAAATAAATTCGTATTTGAAGCCATTGCCCTGTTAGTTATTAAAACTATGGATTAGTGATATCAAAAAATWAATACGCTATGCTACTGCAGCATAGATAAAGTTCTTTTATTCTTGGAATTTTAGTAATTCTACTATAAATACCTACAGAGGGAGTAAAGTTGTCACACGCGGAGTGCATGTTTGACGTTCTCTTAATAATATTATGCGATTTTATCCGAAGTATTATCCAAGGTATAAAGAAAAAATGTCGGAAAATCATCCTTTACACATTATTAATAAACACTCACTTGAGCTGTTGTGGCAGGCCGGTTGTGATAATCCACCATTAACATAAAAGTCTACGTCACCGCATGGCGCCAACTGGCCATCGATCATTGCGTCCGTGTGTATCACATCCACAAAATCAGCATCGTTGCTACTCAGTCTTCTGTTAAGGTGTGAGCTGTAGAACAACGGCAAGGCTGGATCCAGTCCTAAAAGAAAAACAATACAAATTGATCACTATATATATTTTGTGATTTAAGTTTCAATCGACAAGAAAAGTAAATATTATTATTTTTTTTTTTTTTTCGTGATGGTTTGTTATATTATTTAATATTTTATGATAAGCTTGCCACCTATATTCGTCGAACAAAAATATTTTTAAATGTAGTAATATTATTCCCGTATTACACATAGAAAATATTATATAATATTTCTATAGTTAAGTTATTCAAAATTACTGTAGTTAAAGATATTCCATAGTTTCTATACCATGGTATCTATTGTAATATGTAGATTGGTTTAGGTATATTTAGTCATTTTACAAAGCACTATAATTAACAACAAATCCCTCTGGTATTAATTATGATATTCTATTTAGATAAACACAATATGAATTATTTATACAATATATAAAAGTTGATATGGATATAAACAAAAGAATTGCATAACATAATAATGCGTTGAATATAATATAATTCGCGGTACAATTATATTTTCCCATTCACAATTACAATATGAAAATTACTCACGGTTAGTGGTTGGTTGTTATGCGCTGCTGCCGTCGCGTTGGTGTGCTGGTGTTGACCATGATTAAAGATATACTGGTTGCCGAACGAGTAATAATAATTCAATATTAATTGACATTCATAAGTTCTTATCAAAGTACTCTGACTACTAGCGCATCCGGTGTTGAACATTTAAAACTATACYCTACAGTATCCAATTGAATACAATTTATACTAGTGCTGAGCACTATATCCGGATCATCCCGTATCCGGATTACCGATCCGGATTGATCCGGATTGAAACAAAAGTAACAATCTGTTTAATCCGGATTAAAAATCCAATCCGGATTAAAATACCAATCTAATTTATTA